TATCTGGGTGTCCAAATACTTCTTTAAAACGTCTTCAGTTGATCCAAAATGCTGCTGCCAGAGTCTTAACTGGAGTTACTGGGAGAGATCATCTCTCTCCAGTTTTAGCTTCTCTCCACTGGCTCCCTGTCAAATCCAGAATAGAATTCAAAATCTTACTTCTAACCTACAAAGCTCTCAACAACCTAGCTCCATCTTATATTACAGATCTTGTTGTTCCATATTTTCCTAACAGCGCCCTGTCTACAGGCTTGGCTTTCTGACCATGGCTTACCAAAGATGGCTCTTGGGACATGGAATGTCACTGCTCTGGTGGAGGAACCTGACCTTGTGTGTGAGGTTGAGAGGTACCCATCACCTTGATACATCTTGATCACACCTTGTGTGGGTCATAGTTCTCTAGTAAGATTCCAGAGGCCAAGTGAGTTGCAGCTCTGACTGTTGCTGAGAAAAAGATTGAGGTTTGGGGGGAGTTCAGTGAGGCCTTGAATAGAGTCTCTAGACTGGCTCCAAGAAGACTGGAAATCTTTCAGGCAGTAGAGGTGATGGAAGCATCATTTTACCTACATGAAGGCATCGTTGACCTCAATTAGTGATGTCATCAGGCGGTGAAAGGAATACTTCAAGGACCCTCTCAATCCCACCAAGCATGCCTTCTATGGAAAAAACAATCTGAGAACTTTGGAGAATCCATAATCTTGGTTGAGACACTGAGGTAGTTAAAAAGCAAAGTAGGGCTCCAGTGCAGGATGTGATCCATCATGAGTTCCTCAAGGTTCTGGATGTAGATGGGTAGTCTTGGATGACCCACCTTTGCATGGCATTACCGTTTTCCAAAGGAGGAAGAGTATGTTTAAATTCCAAGGGGAATCACACTCCTTAGCCTCCCTGTAAAGGTCTACTCAGGAGTGCTGACAGTGTTTCTAGGTGCAGCCAGGGTGTGGAAGGGTTCCAGTCCCATAGCCTCTGGATTTTGCTATTTGCAGATGATGTGGTCCTGTTGGCGTCATTGTGCCGTGATCTCCAGCTCTCATTGGAGAAGTTTGCAGCAGATAATGTAGCAGCTTGGATGAGGATCAGCCCATCCATATCAAAGACCATGGTTGTCAGTCAGAAAAGCAGAGCTGTAAGGAGAAGCTCTCCATTTGCCGGTCGGTCTAGGTTCCTACCCTCACCTGTGTTCATGAACTCTGGGTAGTGACTGAAAGAACCAGATCCTGAATCCAGGAAGTCTAAATAATTTTCACCTGCAGGGTAGCTGGACTCTCCCTTAGAGATAGGGTGAGAAGTTCAGTTATCCAAGAGAGACTCCGAGTAGACCATGGAGGTGGTTCAGACATCTATTAAGAATGGACCCTGAACACCTTCATAGGGAGGTTGTTCAGGCATGTTCAACTGGGAGGAGACCCCAGGAAAGACCCAGGACACGCTGAAGGTACTATGTCTCTCCCAAAAGAACTGGAAGAAGTGTCTGTGGAAAGAGATGTCTGGACCTCCCTGCTCGAGCTGCTGCCAGCCCCACCCCCCACCCCCCGCAACACACACACACACACACAACCTGAGTCCAGAACCAGATGATGGATGAATGGAAGGTGATACTCTACCTGTGTGCTTTGGCTCAAAGCAGAAAATCTTGTTTTGTAGTATCCTCCTAAAAACTAAGGAGCTTTGTGTTGGTGTTACCTTGTTCTGACAGGAAGCTGACAGTGTCCCTCATCACCACAGGAACTGGATCACCATCTGGATCCCTCTGTCTCAGCCTGGAACACAGAAAATAATATCAGCTGGTCCCAGCAGCATTTGTTAGCAGTCAACTTCAGAGGTTCTGGTACTCACAGTGCGAGTGGAACCCCAAACACCTGGTTTGGGAGAGGGGGGCTCCGAGGAGGAGAGGTTGGGGGTTGGGCGCTGGGTTTCAAAGATGCTCTCAGTTTGTTGTCATACCTGATGAAGGTGAGGTCACATGATCATTTGCTGTGGACTTTAGAATTGTAAAGTTTAAAAAGTGAAGTTCTGTTCTTACTCTCTGACTCGGGCAGGAATCATCAGCTGGTCACACTTCACCACGGCCTCCAGCTCACTCAGGTAACTCACATAGTTGATCTTCCTGCCAAATTTAAAACTGAAGCAAAGACAGACATCATCAGCTTCACATCACTTTGACTGACTCAATAAAGCTCTTAGTTTTAAATAATTTCCCTGAATTCCTGACAGTTAGGAGGAGGTGCACCATGACCAATCAGTGACCTCTGACCTTCCAGCTAAGCAGGTAAAGTATGGTTAGAGGGTTCATGCACTTTCTGCTGACAAATATTCACAATTTGCCAGACTAAGATCAGATTAATATCAGCAGCTGTGGCCGAGTGGTTAGAGTAGTCGTCCTCCATTGGGAGAGTTGGGGGTTTGATTCCACCAGCAGTCACATGTTGAAGTGTTTCTGGGCAAGACACTCCAGTGTTACCCTAAGGTTACCGGTACTTGCCTTGGTAGGGTGTGAATGAATGAAAGTGTGTGTAGTAGAGTCCTGCATGAATGTGTGTAGTAGAGTGTTGCATGAATGTGTGTAGTAGAGTGCTGTATCAATGTGTGTGTAGTAGAGTGCTGCATGAATGTGTGTGTAGTAGAGTGCTGCATGAATGTGTGTGTAGTAGAGTGCTGCATGAATGTGTGTAGTAGA